TCCATCTTGAAGCTATCTCTGCCTCATGGTTTTTTGTTTTAAGCTCAGGTGACTGGACAGTGTCTGTGTCTACAGGACAGGAAGGTCCCTGAACCTGTCTTTGAGACAGTTTAGCTTATGAGACATTTTCTTTCTGTGACATAACTTTCATGCTGGTAAAAAACTGTTCCATTGGTAGGAGGCTACATTTCATTTCACCTGCATCATAAATGTATGATTGGAAGAGAGTGTCCTAGTAGTAAGCTGTGAATTTGAATTAGACGAAAATTCTGAAATCATTTATGGGAACTTTTCATTACTTCTGTAATTTCTGAAGCCTCATTTAAATGGTCAGATTTGACCAAAACATTTTAGTGAAGAAGATAAATGTATCTTGGGGCTTCCCTGGTGGAGCAGTGGTTGAGAGTCCGCCTGCCGATGCAGGGGACGCGGGTTCGTGGCCCGGTCCGGGAGGATCCCACATGCCGCGGAGCGGCTGGGCCCGTGAGCCATGGCCGCTGGGCCTGCGCGTCCGGAGCCTGTGCTCCGCAACAGGAGAGGCCACAGCAGTGAGAGGCCCGCGTACCACAAAAAAACAAGATAAATGTATCTTAAAAGAAATTTTTTTTAAGTTATAATATACAGGTAACCTTTAAGACTGAAAGGAATACCATAGTGTAAAATATGAGGGGCTCTTGCTACACAGAAAGAAATGTGTACTTTATTTTCTGAAAAAGAATGCATTCAGGTACTGGGCTAGTTTGTAATGAATAGCATAAATTCAAAGGTACGTTAATGTGCTCTTGCCCTTTAAAAACAATTTACACCCTGTCTTGATAAAATAGTTACAAAATATAAAAAGAAACCTGTTTAAGAAATTAAAACTTGGCAAAATTTCAACATTTTAGGTCAGTGGAAAGAGAGAAAAAGGCATTCAACAAATAAGCTCCAGCTGGGCGTTCCATTTTTTTGTTCCAATCCTAAACCCAACAGGAGGAGGCAAGGCCTTAGCAAATGCACCTTCTGTGTAAGCCCTACTGATACACTATGGGGTCCAGGTCACAGTCTGGGGGAAGGGTCTGCCCTTGGGCAGTCTTGTGACCTGAAGTCCTGGTGCCATCTGAGGGTCAAGGGTTCAATGGATTTTACGCTTTGCCGTCTGTTAGGCAGTAAAGCCCGAGCTCTTCCAGTGAATGGAGAGTGTCTCATGAGTTCCCAGTTCAGCAAAACAGGAGCTGTTAGACATCCAGGGAGCTGCTCTGTTCTCACACTTGGTGCTGTTTGGCGACTCTGTGTCAGTGCTGACAAGTTGGGTCAGTGAATATTTACTCGTAATAGCAGCCTAAACGGTCACGGTGGCTGTGTTCTAGCCATTAAGAGGAAGCATAAGAAAGGTCAGAGAAATGAAGTTTGTGTTTAATTTTAGAGAACTGGCATCTTGTAACTCGAACTTAGTGAAAGTATATTAACTTTTTTCCCCTCCTTCTGGACTCATGGGCCTACGCATAATACCAGTAGGAACACCTCAAATTTTTATCGATGATCTCAGATTTAATGGAGCAAACATGTTATCTCACCACTTTTGAACTGTTTGTGATGTGTTTAGAGTCCACCAGTGTGCCTTTTAAGTAAAATGAATCACATGTATTCTTGACTATTTGTGCACAAACGTCTAAGATCTAGTGTTTAAAAGCCTGGGGTTGGTGAATTAAATGGAAACACGTGTGCTTTGAGCATGAGCTTTCCCAGCCCAGGTAACGGTTCAGACTTCCATCACAGAAGTACCCTGTGGAGTAATGTGTCGGTGGAGAGCAGTGGTGGTAGCTTTGTTATTTTCCTGCTTCTCTGCTTTTAAAAGGAAAGGGCCTAAAGGCAAATGAATGGAAAACAGTTGCCAAAGGACAGTATAGAAACACAACTGGGCTCTAGGTGGTGCTTGAAAGCAAGTACAGTAAGGCTGGCATCCTTCAGGGTAAAAGGGTGTCAGCTGAACCTCAGTAACCTGGAGGCTCCTGGGCAAAGTCTTCAACAGACTGTCGTCACCTGTTCTACAGGGTCTCCGGGAGGGCAGTGGGCCAGTTCAAATACATTTTTTCAGTTATTCCTGTAAAGTTGGTATTATTCCATTTATGTCTATAAATCATCACTGTTAAAGTCAGCAAGCTGGTAGCCGGGGAGGGAGGAGGATACACTTAATCAAAGAGCTTTTGCCAGTCACAGGTCGTTTTGCCACAAAGCTTTACATCGAAACACCTGCCTGCTTTTGCCCAGCCTTTGTGTCGTCCAGATGGAGCAGGTGAACCTGTAGGAGCGAGGCCTTTGTTTGCTTTGCAAGTGGAATGTTTCCTAAGGGAATGAATGGTGTATCTTTCTTTTTGGTAAGAAAATATTTTTGGCAGAGTTTTAAAAAGGTAGTACAGCAGCTACATTGGATATCAAATACTAACCTGTAATTCCTGTTAAAACATTTGCCGTCAATAAAAACAAGGCCCCCCACCATGTAAATCATAATAAAATGTGGGCTCTATGTGTGAATTTACATAAATAGCCTATTCGTATAACCGTGCTCACTCAAAAGGAAACCTTTAGCATAAAAATTTAAGACTCTTTAGATCCAGGCTGATTTTAACATATACCTTTTTTTTTTTTATTAAATATGTAAAAAGATAAATGCAAGTCAAGTTATTCACATATTCAGACACAAAAAACTATTCTACCATGCGACAGTAGGTGGGTAATGTAAAATGAATGTGATACATCTGAATAAGACTTTTTCATCTATTATGTCATTACTTATCTATATTTATAATTAACAATACATATGTTTACACTCCTTTCAGTTTACATTTAATATATAACAAAAGCTTTAGGATGTACTATTTAGTAAAAGTACTTTGAATGCATATTAAACCTTAACGGAATAATGGAAATACTCACCAGGGAAGGGAGGAGTTCTTGGTTCCCTTCTGGAGTTTACTTCTCTCGGGTCAACAGGGTGTGTCTTTGTCTTTTCTTTTTCTGCTTTTCTGCTCTTTTCTCTTTACCCCCTGCTTCAATCACTTCCTACCTGATATGAGCAGTGGAAGTACTATAACCAGCTGCGGCGGGTGTGAAGGGGACTCCAAGACCAAAGTCTGGCTTCTGAGAGGGAGGAGCAGAGCACACACCAGGGGATGCTTCTCGGCCCAGCGTGACGACGCGTGACGGGGTCCACAGAGGAAAGCATGCACTGGCTGCCGAGATGAGAGAATGATGGGGTAAAGCCATCAGGGAGAAAGGAGCAGTCCTGGGAAATGAGAGGTGGTCTGCACAGAAGCTGGGGTGCAGCCGAAGAGGACTGGGATACTTAGCTGTCAAAGATTCCCCAAAGCATCAGTGATGTCCCAGGTGATGCAGGGCAATGGAAGACGTTTCAGATGTTGACTGACAGAAAGAGAAGTATATAGCTCCTCTCTAAATAAATAATAGTCTGCCCCAAGACTCCGGGAAGGAGAAGGAAGTAGGATGACTGGCGAAAGTTGTCTTTGCCAGATATATGGCCAGTATGTTTGTAGCTGAGAAAGTTGGGGATTTGGGGAGGAACAGAGTGGCTGAGTGTCACTGGTGAGGCTTATGCACGTTACCCAGTAATCATGTGCACCCACATGATGGGAGTGTGGTTCCTGATCCACCTGGCACTGGGTATTACTGACACGTCCAAGGCAAGCAAAAAACTGCCCAGGAACCACTGAAGGATCACCTGCATGGAATTATTGTGCCTCTTTACAAGAGCTGTTTAGAAAGAAGGAAACTCAGTGAGTGCAACAGGCTTGGCAGGGGGGCGGGGGGGAGGCGGAGGGAGGGGTGGGGACGACACACTGTTAAGCACGATGCTGTGTATAGCACGACCACTCCCTGCGACCAGGTGTGGGAGGATGTCACCGCCGAGAGCCAGGCCGTATTCCAGCCTGAGAGAAACGAGCTGCCACTGTAGCGCAGAGCAAGCAGGAGAGAGAAGAAAGGGAAACCAAACCCCATGAAACATCTGTCCAGTTCTGCACAGTGTCCTGTAATAACCTCAAAAATACAAGCAATCTTTTTCACGTTACTCAGTAAATACCAGTCTGCCACAGAAGATTTATTTTGAGAAGACTTCTTTTGGTGGAAAGCTTCAATGCTAGAATTTAGAATTAGTATTTCATCAGTTAATAAAGAAATGTCAAAGCTTTATGATACATAATTCAGAAATTTATTTTAAGCTTTTCAATTAAGAGGAAAGTGGGGTGGGCACACTTGTTTGCTGTTTTTGTTGCACCTGCTAAGTCAAATAACAAGTGAAAGAAAATCTAAAGTCAGACACCGAGTGAAATGAATGATCCAGGAAGGGAACCCATCTGTCAAAGGGTGGGGTGGGGAAGAGGCAAAGATTTGGAAAGATACTAAGAAAATGTGCAAATATTAGTTAAAAAAAATAAGGAATGCTTTTGATTCATTAATGTTTCCTCTGTTTATGAACTGCCACGATTTAGCGAAGGTCAATGACAAGGAGGGCCGTAGTACTGAAGAGGGGGAATTCTTTATTCCAGAAGGCATTGCGAGTCAGATTTTCCTGTGCTGTCATTCCAGTGTCAACACCAGACTTCAGAACCAGGATTCTCCCTTGGGCTCCCGCTCCTACTCATAAGGTCTTCACTCCCAGCCTTCCAGCAAGTGTGCAGCATGATGCGGGACCCTGCCGCCTGGGGCTGCACACCCTGAAGTCATTCTTTAGTAGGAATCCCCTAGTGTGGATGAGAGGATTTGGGCTGAAACCCACAGGAGGAGGTGGGAGGACCTGTGCCCATGCAGACCCCCTCTGACTGCAGACAACTGATGACAGCTTTTGAGGAGAGTGGCTCCCCACCAAAGAGGACCCTGAGAAAGAAAAGAGCATGAGAATCTGGGTGGGGGGAGGCGAGGGAAAGGGCAAGCAGTTAGAGGGCCAAGTCGAGATGGTGTTTTCCTTGAGTGAATGTCTTTCAAAACTAACAACATACTGTGTGGTTTCCCTTTGTTCCAATTTATTATTTGACCAAATTTATGTTCAGAGGTTAGACTTGCAAACATCAAAGCACCACAAATGTGTGTGACATCTAGTGACACTGGGTTGAGAAATGCCAATATAAATACCATATATCAAATTACCATTGTTTCACACCAGGATAAAAAGGGGGTGGGGTGGGGTGGGGTGGGGGTGGGGACAGTTGTTCTGGAAAGAAATGCAAAGAGCAGAACCAATCTCAAGCAGCCAAGTGGTGAAGTTGAAGGTATGTGACCCCGTGATGTCTTGGGGAGGCTGCCCACGGCCACGGCTAGTGTGTCTTGGCGAAGGAAATGGGAACCGAGCGTGGTGGCTGGCATGGGTGCCGGCGCAGTGATGGAACAGCAGGCTGGGAACAACTGGTTTCTGATGAGCTTGAGGCCACAGGTGTTCCAATTCTCCAGAAGAAAAGTTCCCACCAGAACGGAAGTGTGGAGAGCTGCCGAGACGGTTCAGTACTCTTCCTGCTGCTGGGGCTGCTGTTCGTGGACTTGTTCCTCTGCTTCCGGCTCCTCCGGGTGGCCCTCCTGTGGGGCAGGGGGAGAGGTTTCAGCTGAAGCGGTTCACTGCCGGCAGCCCTGCAGCGTTCCCCAGACCCACCATCGCTGCACAGCATGGCATCGCCACGGCTTTTGCCACGCAAGTGCCTCCCCGCTCCCAGGAGCCCAGGCACACACACAGGGAGGGATGCCTTCACCTTCCCGCCCCATCAAAGGAACGGCCCATTCTGGAGCGCGGCCAGCAGGCTTTAGGCACCACGTTTTCCTTCTGACCATTCTGGGAGGACGTCATCACAAAACATACATCCTTTCCCACCCGCTGTACGACAGTAAACCAGATGCAAGGGCTCAAGAGCGTCACAATAACCACGAGTGAGCCTGCTGTGACACAGCACAGGGCCCCAGGCCCCTGCAGTGTGTCCGATGGCTTCCTGTTTCCTGCCCTGCTGTCCTCCTCCTCACCTGGTAGCATGTTTGCTTGAAGCAGACTCCTTGTTATAATCTGTTACTCACATGATGCAGAGAAGCAGCTCGTTAGAGTGGGTAGGTAAGGAAAGGACAGTAACTATGGCTCTGGGTTGCCCCCAGCCAGACCGCATCTCCAACAGGGGAGCTCAGGAGCTTGTGCTCAGGGACTTCGGGACATCTATTTTGGGTATGTGAGGACTTTTTTTGCTTACTTTCTGATGGTTGAGGTGTTCCTCTACTTGGCTTCAAATGACCTATTTACTCGCATATAACCCAGGGAAGCACATCACGAACATAAAACTCCAGGGAACGTAAACCCTGGTCAGCTGTATCTGCCAATTCTTTTTTTTTTTTAATCTCACAAAGAATAATTAGCTCTTTACTACCCAAGCAGAGGGAGTGTAGCTAATCAATAGGGCCGACTGCTCCCTCCAGAATGCACAATGCTTTTGTGATGCAGTCGGGAGCGTACGCTGGGACGTACAGACGTGCTTGTGTTCGCTTGCACTTTGCACACCCCCTTTCTGTCTGGCCCGTATTCCCTTTAGCCAAGGACACACCCATCAAGATCCAACTCAAATACAGCAGGATCACTTCCCCCGATTCCTGATCCAGGATGCTCTCCCTCCTCCTGCATTTTGTTTCTTCCTTGGCCTTAAAACTTTTGACTTGTAACCTTGTCTTGAACCTTGTGGCCTCATCCACTGGATCCTGAGGATACTGAAGTCGGGATAGGGCCTCATGCATCTGTGTCAGACCTTGCCTACTGTACAACTCAGTGCGTGTGTGTCAGGAAGAAGACATCAGAGAGGGTGCAAGAACAGATGACCCAGACTATCAGCCAAGGTCACGTGCCACTTATATTCTGAGAGGCAGCATAACGTCAAGGTTATAAGCATGGAACTGGAGTTCATCTCCCAGATCCATTATTTACAAGCTGGGTGACTTAACTGTTCTGTGCCTCGGTTTTCTCATCTGTACAAGTGGGGGATAGGACAAAAGTGCCCACTTAACAGAGTTTTCAGTGAGTGTCATTGATCAATGAATCAATGGAGTCACTGAATTCAACAGGGAACTCTGAGTTAAAATAGGTGAAGTGCCTAGAGCAGTGTTTGGCACATAATATAAGTGTGAGCTGTGATTCTTTTTTCTTGGTAACTCATTGGAATATGTTCTAGAAGTAAAAATAATTTTTTAAAAAATAGTCTTTCCTATGACAAGAGTAGAAAATGACATCGTATTGAAGACTTGGGCTCAATTCTAGCACCGTCCCTTACTGGCTTGATGTCTTCAAGAAGCACATTATTTAATTTAATAAATATTAGCTCACCCCATGACCACACCCCGTCATCATACCTACAACTGCTCCACCTCTGAAATGTGAAGGCCCAAATCCTACTCTCTCTGCCCACATCCTGCTGTCCTTCGGGACACCTCGCTCCTTAATTCCTTAACCACGATGTCCTTTGACCTCAGAGCCCCAAGCCCCCTTTTGCTCCAGGCTCTGCCAGCTCGTCCCCGGGCCGGCCCTGCAGCGTCCTCCACAAGCCTCTTTGCCCACCGCTCAGCACACGTGAGGGTGGTCCTCTCGGCTCAGTTAGTGCCTCAGGGACGGAGGTGCCCTCCTGGGAGCAGGAGAGCACCTCTTGCTGGGATAGAACAAGCGAGGAAGAGCCACCGGCCTCCCTCTAGTCCAGGGGCAAAGAAGGAAACTCACGCTCATGGGAACTGACCAGGAATGTGGACCAGGAACTCCGGGTGTCTGCTCTGCCGCACGCTCCTCCCCACGCCTTTCTCACTGCCTTCACCCCAGAACGGATCACTCCTCTGAGCTTTACATCCTTGACTCATGCTTCCATCAGGTTGCACACTGCAGCCCTGTGTGTGTATGGGCGCGTGCTCGTGTGTCCCCACTGGCTGGCTCCACGGCTGCCTCTTCAGCCAGGCTCTGAGCCTCTGAGTCCCTTAAGGGGTAGAGATGTTGTATTCGTCATCCTAACCTTTTAATGCCAGTGTGGTGCCTTCCGTATCATATTGCCCAGACTTCAGCTGGTCTGAAGTGCACTTTTCTTACATAATCGTTTCTGCGAGTGTTAGGCTGCTGATGGGAAGATCGTCAGAAATGATGATCTGTTTGACATTTTACGGAAAATCTTATTTGCTCACATCGTGGACTTCGAGTTAACTGTGAGATAATGGATTTAATTCAGGACTGAAAGAAGACTTGGATTCAAGTAACCGTGGGCCTGTCAAACCGGCTGTGGGATGAGAAACGCACTAGATAAGGCTCCCCCTCGGGCCTCCTTTCCATACTTGATGAGCCAGGGAGTGGGTGCGGTGCCCTTGTCTCCAGCTGGCCAAGGGCAGCTCCCTCATTCACGGTGCACCGCTGTGAGGTCATGCATCTCATCTGCAGGAACTGCGGACCCCAGAGCACTCTTATTGGGTACCGCGGCTATAAAGAACAAACGTCCTGGGTTACCAATGGATTGCTAATGCTTGGGGTTCAAATTAAGGTGCTCTGAAAGTCTGGCAGGAGGCACCTGTAACTCTGAGGCAGCTGTTGCACATCACCACTGGGAGCTCCCCGCCCACAGTGCTGTGGAGGCACTCACACACCCAAACGATCTTTCTCTTATGCCCCACGCAAGACTGAAGAACTTAAACGCACAGGTGGGGAGGCGGCCAGGCGAAACCTAGGCCAAACATGTGACTAAAGCACTGGGGCGCCACCTACTTAATTAATTAAGTCTAATATTTGCATATCAATCCACTCACAGCTGTGAGTGACGCTTTGGAGTTCCTTATTCTTGTAATCATCATTAGAAGGAGAAGCAAGCAGGAAGACAGTACCGAAGAATGCTCTCAGCTACTGTGGGAGAAGAGCGGGGACAAGGGGGGGAGGGCCGTCAAGAAGCTGGGCTGCAGGGAGTGGGGAGGGGGCGCGGCTCCCACCTTCCCAGATGTAGGAGGCTGCGCACAACAGGCTCATCTGCCGCCACTCACACCAGCGAGTCTGGCTGTTCTTTCCTCTCTGCTTTGTTCCTGCCATTTCCTCTGCTGAAAAAGTACTCCCCCGTCTTACCTCTGTAACTGCTGACATTCCTAATCATCTTTCCACGTCCAACACAAATGTCACCTTCTCTGTGAAGTCCTTGCCTGTCCCTCCAGGCTGTCTTTATGTGCTCGCCACACAAGTTTATTTATGTCTCCATTACTGCATTTATCACAACCTGACCAGTTCCAGTTAGTGGTGTCCCTGTCTGTCTCAAGGGGACTGTGAGCTCTTCTAAGGCAGGGGCTGTGTCTGTTTTCTATAAACCCAATGCTGCGTCCAGTGACAGAAATGCAGGCTGAATTCAAAAGATGTGGGCTGAGGGGGGGAGTATCTTTAGGTCATTCGACAGTGGCTTCCGTGACAGGACCTCAGGAAACAAGTGTCTCAGTATTAGCAGGTGACCCTCAGCCTACAGATCCACAGGGCAGCATCTAACCAACGACGTTAAGCCCAGACACCTGTGGCCCTTAGTTAAGTAGTAAAGATAATGAGAATCATAATGAGAGGCACTGGACAGCCAGCTGGCCATCTGCTCTGGAAACTTCCATTAAGCTTCTGTGACTGCAAACTGAACTGACTCTGTTTACTTCCACACTCAAAACTCTCATCTGGATTTCTACATCTTCCAAACATGTTATCCTAGGATTGCTTGATCACGAGAATCAAAGACCAGACATCACTAAATAAAGACTGAAGGAGGAGGCCTCTCCAGCGAATGCCTGCACCTGAAACGTCAATGTCGGGTCCATCTGTGGTGAACTGAAGAGCAGGCACTCACTGCAGCCTCTGATTCCTCAGCACCCCTCTCATCTCCAGGAGGGAGGCAACCAACCAGAAATCTCTGCCTCTCAGATGTGCACAGAAGTCCGACCGGCGGCATCATGAATAAAGTACTGGCATTTTCTCCCAGACATCATGCCCCCCGTGGCTGCACGTCCACCTAGCACTGAAGTGTGTGAATGGCCTGCAAACAGGACACAGTGTCAGGGTCAAGCACAGCGAGGGAAAAAGGAGGCTCCGAGAGCTTGCCGGTGGGTGCAGTGGCCCAGCAACCTCTGAGCACATTTTTTCCCAAGTGACGCCTTTCCTAGACAAGGGTGGAAGCTTTTTAAAGGCTCACTGCCTCAATGGTAGAAAGTGGATAAGCTGGGAGGCTACCACAGAATCAGGACTCGCTACGCTCAGGGAGGGAGGCAAACGCTTGCTGCTCTAAGGTGTCTAGGACGGTTCCATGAACCTCCAGGAAGGGAAGCAGAGAGCAGAGCAGGCCAGCCGCTCCTGAGCCTCTCGCCATCCGCCTCTGTAAGAAGTGTCATGTGTGTGCGTGTGCCGCATGGAAAATACCGTGCAGTGTCCAGGCACGTGGCAGACAGCCTTCACCTTCTCTCTATATAGAAACCAAAGTTTAAAAAAATGGGTCTTGTCACATTCTAAACAAGGACACTTGGCATATTCCAGCTTATTCTCTATAGAAAACTCAGCATAGCCTGATGTGTTTCTTTTGGAGCTGTCCAGACACAGAGTTGCATTAGAAGTTATCCTGGAATGAGAAGAATTAAGGCAGCAGCTGCATTTGAAGATTTTGCACTGGTAACCCACACGTGTTAAGTTTGTGTTAAGTCTGTTTTCTCTTCCAGATTCCAGTAGCCTGGTTACTGCCTCTAAATCTCTTCCTGGACTTTGGATACTCCTTAGCTTACACTCAACAGTGATGCCACTGTCTCTCTCTTCTCCCTGCCACGTTTCTCTCTATTTGATGACATCAGCACAGTGCCAGTCAGAACAACAAAGGTGGGTTTAGTGACACTACCCGCCAGAAAAAAATGGAGATTCTTGGCGGATGCTGAATTAAAGAGACTGCTCAGAGAAAGAGGCCAAGACAATACTTTTGAAGGTGTCAAACAACAAAACAAGATGAAGGGAATTATTTGGAGAAAATCCAGGTAGGAATTTGACTATTCCCTTCTTTACATACAGAACACATGCAACTCAATACTGTCAACTAGACAAAGTCTGTCCTGCAGTTTCCCCCAAGAGGTACCGCCTTTACTTTTTCCCTTCCCCATGGCACCCAATATACTGAGAAGCAGGGAACATAGTCCTTAAGATTCTGGGCTCTGAGTTAGAGAAACCTGGGTAGTGATGGAGCTGAGCGCAGTCATCCAGGAAGGCACCCCTGAACTCTCAGGAGGCAAGAGCTCTTGCCGAAGGCCAGCCCCGCCTGCCATTAGCTAGGAATTCAGTGGCCCTGCCAACCCTTAATTTGGAGTTCACCTAATGGCGCTCCCTCACAAGGACTCCTCCTTTGGGACAAGATCTGGCTCGAGGTTAGCATCAGAAGGCTAGAGGTTAGAATCAGCAGGGAGATTCCATCCTGCAAACCTCCTTGCTCCCGCGAGCGGGCACCGTCCCGGATGGGCAGCAGCACGGTTCACTCGGGCTCACGGGGCTGCTGCACAGACCTCATCGAATTCAGCCTCAAACAAGCTTGTGAAGAGAATAACCATAATTCGTCTAGCGCTTGACAGATGACAAAGCACTCTCTACATATAGAACGTCATAAAAATGCCACTTTGGGTGGTGCAGATACACACAACACAAACCAACCTTTGGTTTCTTCCGTCAGATCTGAAAATATTGAGAATGATATTTTGTAAAGCCGTTGCTATCTCTGGGACCTGGGCAGGCGGATTCCCAGGGCTTCAAGATCTATAGTCTGAGCTAACTGAGAAAGAGGTTTAAGAATATATACATATCTGGGGGAAACAAAAAAAGTGCTGGAGAGTCCCCAAACTCCAGACAGTTTCTTACCGTTTAGGAAATTTTCAGAGCTAGGATTTTAATCTTACACGGAGTAAACAACTGCCTGGTATTCGGCTGAAATAAGATAAAGTAAACTTGCTGGTGGCTTCCTATGTTCCGTGGAAATACCAACACACGTGCAACTCGACCACAGAGCCCTCAGGGCACCTGCAGGCCTCCTAATCACACCTACCCAAACACTTCCTCAGCCCCAACCTGGCAGCAGGACGCCTGCAACCCCGGCCCGTGCTCTCCTGCCTTTCACTGCGCCACCCTCATGAAAGTGAAGCCCCACAGGGCTCCCATTGTGGCTGCCAGGGCCTCTCCCTGCCTGTCTGGGAGGACTTGGGGTGACCTGCCTTGGGCTCTGCCGTTTATCCTGCCCCTCCCCCTCCTCGCTTCCTGAGACTCATGTTCCTCCACTGCTCCTCACATCGGCTTTCCATGCGGACGGACGGAGCCACATCCTGGGTACCCCCTCGGCACATCCACTCGTGGGGAGCAACCCTGGTGGGCAGGGCCTCCACAGAGGAGGCCTTCCAGAAGTATTTTTTCACAAAGGGCTGTCACACAATGCTGCTCTGTACTGGCAAAGTGTAACCAAGGCAACCAGCTATGAAGGAAAAAACAGTTGTGGGACTTCTGGGGATGGGAAAAGCATCTAGATTAATTTTTCCTTTAACCACATTCTGATCTGCGTGAAGAATCTTTGCACACATTCTTACTGCTCATTTGCTCAGAGAGCTGAAAACCACTTGAGATTTGGCTATGTAAGCCTATTTTTCTCAGTCGAAGCCCCCCGGTCCCCTGCCCCCAACAACTGGCAACCATCCGCGCATCTCTTCCCAGATTGATGAATGCAGGTCCCATAAGCATGGGTCAATGGATCACGACGATCGTGTTTATTCCTCTGGGAACATCATATGCACTGGCTGAGCTGCAAGCCTCACTCAGGTCCCAGGGCAGTATCTGAAGCTGAAGGCTCGGCGTCACTGCACTCTGACCAAGAGCATCACTCTGGGACACAAGCCTCAGGGCTCTGCTCACACTCACGTGTTCTTCCGAAGCGTAGAGGACTTCCATGAGTCGCTGCACGAGGTCATCGTTTTCCTGCCCGTGTTCCTGGCAGAGGAGCTCAATCTCTCTCAACTTCCCGAAGTAGAAATCCCTCTCCTTTTCCACGCCTTCAAGGGCAAGTTTTAATGAATGTACCTGTGAGGGAGGGAAGGTGGAAAAGAAAACCCTCAAACTACAGCATAAGAAATAAATGACCGACTGTGCCAGTGTATAAAGATGCGAAACATGAAAAGACAGATGTGCAAAAATAACCGTCGTGCAGGTCTGGGGAGAGATGAGGGGCTGCTGCTGGAGCTTGAGCCTGGGCCCTAATGCCCAGCTTCAACAGCACACTTGTCACTCCTGTCAACCGACCGTTTATACCCAGAGGCCCGGGGATCCTTCTGCCCGAGACAGTTCCACCCGGGCTCCGAGTCAGCCTTCCTCTCCTGGTAACTAACCTGGGTTGGGGCACATCTTTCCCCCAACTTGTTCATCCTCTACCGGGAGGGGAGAGGTGAGAGCGGGAGGAGGGAGGGGAGGGGAGGGAGGGGCTGGCACTGTGGTCCCTTCAGATGCGCTTTGCGGGAACCTCCTTTCTTCACGTCACTTGAGAGCCGCCCTCGACTTTGGAGCCCTTCATACATGTTCCTGAACCAAACTAGACAAATGCTCCTACTGAGGGACTGGGGCGTGGCTGCACAAGGAAAACTGGGCGAGACTGAAAGGAGGCTGAGTGGATCTGTCTTAATTCCTCTAGTTCTGGCTTCGAGCTCATCACGTGAAAGGCGGGAAGATGTGGAAGCTCCAGTCCCTCAGCAGAACAGCCCTCATTCCCTTTTTTCTCCCTTGATGCGGGTTCAAGGGCCTTGCAGCTTCTCACGGTGGTTATGGAGATGGCGCTGGTGAAGGGAAGAGGGCAAGGGTTGAGGCTGGCAGAGCTGTCACCTGGGCTGAAGAAACACCACAGGCTGTGTAGACAGATCTGGTCTCAAATTCCAGGCTGCAGGCTGAGCAGCTCCACACAGGCCCAAACCATCACCCCCTTCCTGCTCTCGGAGAATCCCTCAAGTTTTCTGAACCCTTTGATCATTTATATTTATGCAGAGAGTATCTTTAGGAGGTGAATTAGGTCTCTCATGGTTCTCCTCAGGAGAAATCTCTCTTTCAGTATATGAAAAATCACCCTTCACAGATTTCCAAAGATTACATTTGGAGTGGAAAATCTCTCTGTTTCTAGTAACTCCGGGCCTTGGTACATGCTATTTATGTGTCTGGAGTTATTGATTCATTCAAACAGATACTCAGCACATGCAGTGTCCGTCTCCTTGTGCACCTGGCAAACTTGTGTCCATCCAGTAAGACTCAGGGATATGGTTCTCCCTCAGAGTTAACCTCATTGATGCCCTCATGTAGCTGGTTACAAAGCAAAGGAGGATCAGTTGCTAACTTTTTTTTTTTTTTGGCCACGCCTTGCGGCTTGCAGGATCTTAGTTCCCTGACGAGGGATTGAACCTATGTCCCACTGCAGTGGAAGCACGGAGTCTTTAACCACTGGACTACCAGGGAATTCCCTCAGTCACTAACTTTCAACCCTTATTTCTGATAACACTATGGCTTGGACATTTGTAAAAACTGAAGGCAACCCAGTTGGCTGAATTCCAGAAGAAAGAAAACTGTTTATTCTAGAACCTCCCCCCCACCCCACCCAGACTCGACCACAGACCCATCTCAAGCCTGCACTGGTGCCACCAGTGGATCTGTGGTAGTTTAGGTGTCTGCTGTCTGCCAGCTCCCCTTCCCTGTGTCGGGCAAGAAGCGTCTCTGGATGCCTCTGACCCATGGAAACCAGGCTTGTCAGCCTCTCAAGTGCTGTGGTCTGTAAAGTGAACCAAGAGCTGAGGCTCTGTAGAAACACCCAGCCCAGGTTGGCCTGTGCTGCTATTCCAGATGCATGAGGTTAACAGATGCACAGCTATAAACTTTCCCTGGTAAAAACCAATAGGACCTAAACTACTTGATGAAAGATCCGTTGGCAAATGGGATGCCATTTTCACAGTACCACTCTGATGCCTCCTTGCTCCCGCACGTGTCATAGCAGGAGCCTAAGCAGTGGAGGCGATGCTGGGGTTGGACCCTTGAGAAAAGTCAAGGGGAAGTTCTCTTCTCCCAATTCTCCAAGGCTCAGGTGTCCACACACTGTAGATCCGCCCAGCCTTCCAGTCCGAGCCACGGACAGTGTCTGTGAGGGCTAACCAGGCCCCACTCTTCAGCCCCCGTGGTCCCCGAGCACAAGCAGGGACCCCATCCCACGGCCTGTTTGCTCACCTACTCTCCAGAAAAAACCCCTGATTATTTTAGTCACGTCTTTTCCTCCCCTGTGTTTTTTGGTTCATTTCTATCATTGAAATTCTCTAACACAGTGATGCTTTCATAGCATGTCACGGGAGACTGCCCAAATCAAGGCATGAGGCCAAGTGAATGAGAATTCTCAAAGTTTACGGCACTGGTCACTTTGTCTATTACCACTGTAATTCACTCTTTGGCCCGGGCATTTTCACTTGGCCCTTCCTTGTCTTCGTGTCCTCAATTCCAACACAGTGATGCCTGTGTGTGGCTCCCCACCAGTTTCGGGGAGCACCCTGTAGGCTTCGGGGACAGAAAATGGAGGGGGCATTAACACAGCCTTGGAAATACAGCTGAAGGAGGCGCTCAGTAAACAGCTGGTGAATGAAGGCTCACAATGTAGGATGTGTCCGACCTTCCCTCTGGGGGACAGATGGAGGTACGGGGACACTGTCCTCCACGTGAATGCATATGGGGGGACAGCCCGGGGGTGAGGCCTTTGGAAGTAATGAAGGAATTACAACCAGGAGGAGGAAGGCCACTGGAATGTGCTTCTCTGTGTCTTCTCTAGAGTGGCATTTTGGATGGGACAACAGTTTAGCTGAAGCATCGTAGAGGGCTGGGGCCCTTGGGGCTCTGTGTGTGATTGGAGAGCTACTGGGAGCCCAGAGCCAGCCCCAAGGAGAGGAAGTGGGGCTGGTTGGCGAAGGCCGTAAGCGAGAGAGGGGCGGGCAGGATCTCGAGGTTCCAATGTGTTTCTACTTTGGGTTGGAGATTTGGGAAACTGGGTGTGGTAGGGGTAGATGAAGAAACATGAGATAATAAAGATATCAAAAGATATCAAAAGAATCTGAGTTCCTAAGGAGAAAAGGGTTATAAATCTAAAGTATTACAGACCCACACCAGACTCTTTTCAGGTCTGCTTTGCCTAGAGCCTCAGGCATGTGGCCCAAGGCTAATTAGGGCTGTCCTAACTGCCTTTTTAAAAAAGATTTCATTTATTTATTTTTGGCTGCATTGGGTCTTTGTTGCTGCTTGCGGGCTTTCTCTAGTTGCGGTGAGCAGGCTTCTCACTGTGGTGGCTTCTCTTGTTGCAGAGCATGGGCTCTAGGCACGCGGGCTTCAGTAGTTGCGGCACACAGGCTCAGCAGCTGTGGCTCGCGGGCTCTAGAGCTCAGTCTCAGTACTAACTGCCTTTCATTCTAGAAGAACTCATTGCTGGAAATTGTATTAAGGGCTCAAACTGAGAATCAGCAGGTAATTAGAACATTCCACAGTTTCTAAATCAAAGTCCTACGCACCGGATGACTTAAGCTTTTACCTTTTTCATTAAAGTGTTCAGAATTGTAAAGAAACACCCTAGTTAAGCAACTGCTTGCTTTTTAACTAGATTCTTGTTTGCAAATATACAACTATCTCAAAAACTGTTTCCAGACTCTTGCTGGCTCATCAAGAATCAGATTAACCACCGGGATCTGCCTATGCCCAGTGAGTGGCTGGGAACAGCCTGGCTAAGCAGTGGAGGCGATGCTGGGGTTGGACCCTTGAGAAAAGTCAAGGGGAAGTTCTCTTCTCCCAATTCTCCAAGGCTCAGGTGTCCACACACTGTAGATCCGCCCAGCCTTCCAGTCCGAGCCACGGACAGTGTCTGTGAGGGCTAACCAGGCCCCACTCTTCAGCCCCCGTGGTCCCCGAGCACAAGCAGGGACCCCATCCCACGGCCTGTTTGCTCACCTACTCTCCAGAAAAAACCCCTGATTATTTTAGTCACGTCTTTTCCTCCCCTGTGTTTTTTGGTTCATTTCTATCATTGAAATTCTCTAACACAGTGATGCTTTCATAGCATGTCACGGGAGACTGCCCAAATCAAGGCATGAGGCCAAGTGAATGAGAATTCTCAAAGTTTACGGCACTGGTCACTTTGTCTATTACCACTGTAATTCACTCTTTGGCCCGGGCATTTTCACTTGGCCCTTCCTTGTCTTCGTGTCCTCAATTCCAACACAGTGATGCCTGTGTGTGGCTCCCCACCAGTTTCGGGGAGCACCCTGTAGGCTTCGGGGACAGAAAATGGAGGGGGCATTAACACAGCCTTGGAAATACAGCTGAAGGAGGCGCTCAGTAAACAGCTGGTGAATGAAGGCTCACAATGTAGGATGTGTCCGACCTTCCCTCTGGGGGACAGATGGAGGTACGGGGACACTGTCCTCCACGTGAATGCATATGGGGGGACAGCCCGGGGGTGAGGCCTTTGGAAGTAATGAAGGAATTACAACCAGGAGGAGGAAGGCCACTGGAATGTGCTTCTCTGTGTCTTCTCTAGAGTGGCATTTTGGATGGGACAACAGTTTAGCTGAAGCATCGTAGAGGGCTGGGGCCCTTGGGGCTCTGTGTGTGATTGGAGAGCTACTGGGAGCCCAGAGCCAGCCCCAAGGAGAGGAAGTGGGGCTGGTTGGCGAAGGCCGTAAGCGAGAGAGGGGCGGGCAGGATCTCGAGGTTCCAATGTGTTTCTACTTTGGGTTGGAGATTTGGGAAACTGGGTGTGGTAGGGGTAGATGAAGAAACATGAGATAATAAAGATATCAAAAGATATCAAAAGAATCTGAGTTCCTAAGGAGAAAAGGGTTATAAATCTAAAGTATTACAGACCCACACCAGACTCTTTTCAGGTCTGCTTTGCCTAGAGCCTCAGGCATGTGGCCCAAGGCTAATTAGGGCTGTCCTAACTGCCTTTTTAAAAAAGATTTCATTTATTTATTTTTGGCTGCATTGGGTCTTTGTTGCTGCTTGCGGGCTTTCTCTAGTTGCGGTGAGCAGGCTTCTCACTGTGGTGGCTTCTCTTGTTGCAGAGCATGGGCTCTAGGCACGCGGGCTTCAGTAGTTGCGGCACACAGGCTCAGCAGCTGTGGCTCGCGGGCTCTAGAGCTCAGTCTCAGTACTAACTGCCTTTCATTCTAGAAGAACTCATTGCTGGAAATTGTATTAAGGGCTCAAACTGAGAATCAGCAGGTAATTAGAACATTCCACAGTTTCTAAATCAAAGTCCTACGCACCGGATGACTTAAGCTTTTACCTTTTTCATTAAAGTGTTCAGAATTGTAAAGAAACACCCTAGTTAAGCAACTGCTTGCTTTTTAACTAGATTCTTGTTTGCAAATATACAACTATCTCAAAAACTGTTTCCAGACTCTTGCTGGCTCATCAAGAATCAGATTAACCACCGGGATCTGCCTATGCCCAGTGAGTGGCTGGGAACAGCCTGGGCACCTGGGATAATGGCTCTTCTCCCAGGGCTCCCCTGCTGGCGCAGTGGTTGCGGGTCCGCCCGCCGATGCAGGGGACGCGGGTTCGTGCCCCGGTCCGGGAGGATCCCACGTGCCGCGGGGCGGCTGGGCCCGTGAGCCATGGCCGCCGAGCCCGCGCGCCCGGAGCCCGTGCTCCGCAGCGGGAGAGGCCGCAGCGGCGAGAGGCTCGCGTGCCGCAAAAAAAGAAACTCTCCCCCTAACTCAGGGCAAGGGTGGGTGGTTTCTGCGCTGGGCCCTATGCTACCAATTATTTTATTACTTTTAAACTATGTATACTCTTGGGCAAAATTAGCTATTGTTAGTTAGAAAGCGTACCTAAGCTTTTATATTGAAAAATTCGAAGGCAGTAGACCTAGATTTACTGCAATCCTAGGGATATTAGATAAAAAGGAAAGTTCTATTTAACTGTGGGCTTTCTGATCCCCTATTCCTGGGTTCAGTGCTCCTGTGTACTTTCACTCTTTTTTTTTTCTTTTGGTTTTGAAAACAACAGAAATTTATTCTCTCACAGCTCTGGAGGCCAAAAGTCTGAAATCAAGATTTCGGCAGGGCCACTCCCTTTGAAGGCTTTTGTTATAAGAATCCTTTCTTGCCTCTTCCAACTTCCGGTAGCTCCAGGCATTCCTTAGCCTATAGCTGCGTAACTCCAGTCTCAGCCTCCATCTGTACATGGCCTTCTCTTCTCTGTGTCCTCTCCTCTTCTGTCTCTTACAAGGACCTTTTTCGTTGGATTTAGGGCTCACCCAGATAATCCGGGATGATCTCATCTACTGAGATCCTCAATTATGTGTACTTTCACTCTTGCGGGCAGTGTTCAACGTTTGGCTTTTGCTTGTGTAATAGACGATGGTGTGTGGCTGCTATCTGTAAATTCTATGAGGGAAGGGACGCTCTCTATCTTGCTGCCATTATATTATCAGCATCAAGTATAGTGCCTGTCACATCGAACAGGCTTAACAGATAGCTGCTGAAAGAAAGGAAGGAAGGAGGGAGACTAACCCCTGATGCCTTTAACACAATCTAGACTGGCTAGAAGTGGCCACGGTCTAGCCTGGAGCTCCTAACAGGCACTGAGGTGTACAGGAGGGGGAGGCTGGCCTGCA